CCATCGATGCCATTTGTGCTATGAGAATCATGAAAGATTCGCCCTCAGGGATACCAAATCAACTCGTTGTTTCACAGTTTAAATCAGACGAATGTACTTTTGACGCAAAGGAACAATCCGAACTTTATGTAGAATCTAAGCATTCGAAATATCTGCCATCTAGCCATTCTGAACGGTCGCACTTACTCGTACACATACACTTTAGTCTGCCTTTCTTCTGTTTCCATTTAACCGATTTAGCTTAAATTAGCTTACTTTCGTCTGCTCTAATTTGCTTTTTGCATTTTGCAACAAACCACAAATAAAATATGATAATGAAGTAAGAAACTATGCGGCATGAATCGCATTCGAACATGCACATGATTGGCCTACTTAGAGTTCTCGGACACCTTAATATTCAATCCAAAAACAGTGCCTTTAAACCTATAAAGAGGTTTAACTATGACAAGCAATGACACTGACACTGATCAAGTTATGAACGGAAGTATATAATGCAAAGACATCCGTTTAATTGTACCCATGCCTACTTATGTAGCATTTATCAAAGCAATTCACAGAATATGATAAACGACACCACTAGTCACCTCATTGGTAAAAACTGAAAGATAAAAATATTGTTACTTGCAAATGGAATTTATTATGTAAATAAGTGGATGACTGCTGATCACCTAGTACAAGGTAGCAAATGCTTGATCCATCCAAACAGCAGATGCGATAGCGATGTATTAACTGAATGGAGGGAAATTTGGTGCACTAAGATTCGGTTCCCATTGGAACTCAGAAAAATTTATTTTTTGTAATAAAACTGAAAGCTTTACACGACGAACGGTTTTGCACCAGTAAATCGGCTCCATGAGTAGACAATATTTGAAACGCACCAAAAATCTGTGGCCTCTAATTTTGTTCAGGAATAAATTTTGCTCCGCTTTATCCAAATAACTCTTGCCATATGCCTATATATCAAAAAATGTAAGAGCGACCCGGGCGGCCACTATAAATTAAAACTGGTATATAGAAGATTGCTTACGACGATGGGTAGAACTCATGTGTGCTTTCAGTCTATCCCACGTCGGATAGTCCGCATAGCATTCCGTACAGTAAAAGCGCAGTCCTGCAAGCGCTGTATTCTGAGCTGCAGCATATCACAATGTAGTATGATTAAGGGAGGTTTTTGGACGGCGAGCCGATACTATTTTGGATTAAAAGGCACTTATAACGTAATTAGATAAGACTTTTAAAACTTACAAATGTGGTCTAAAACAAAGTGATTGAGAAGTGCCTCAAAACAATCATACTGCTCGAGACATTGACAGCAAACATTATGGTTTGTGTCTATAACCAGGAATCAAAGTAAGTTTTGCATGTTTATGTCGATAAATATTTAGATATTAAAACATTTCTTGACTAACTCACATTTTTGATGCAGTAAAGCTGCACCAGTGGTTCTGAATGTTCTCAAACAAACGGAGCAAGCTGCAAGCTCCTTTGCTAAGGCAATTAAATCAACCCTTATGTGGGCTGTAAACTATCAATTGGAATGGAAGATGGGGCAATAACACTAGCAAGGGAATCACTAATTCGAATAATCTTGCTGATTTCTGCATAGTATGCACTTAATTAGATCAAAACAGGAATTCGCTTGCAAAACTCACCCAGCGTTCTAATAAATTCACGTGGAACCCACGCATGTGTGTATATCTTGTATAAGCTAGTGGAACTCACCTTTATGTATATGCTTCATATGTGCTCGGACTATGGTGCTGCTACTGAATGACATGGAGCAAAACCAGCAGGTATATGTGTCCATTCCAGCGAGGAGCTAGGCGACGAATGTGCATCCTGAATCTGCTTACACTGCCAACAGCTCCGTTATCAAATCCAAACCAGATCAAAACTCCAGTGATCTTAAATCTTGTATTCACTTATTAATTTCAAAATGAACAGACTAACTAGATTTGTATCTACTTAATTTGCTATTTTGTAGTGTTTTCTTTCACCAAACTTTTAAACTTCTCTTAGCCATAAAGCATTCCAGTAGACAGTTTTATCTAATACTATGCCAATCAACCGGTTTATCAACAAACTATTTAAATTAATTTTTCCGATATCGCAAATAACAATTTAAATTAAAATAGCAAAACTATCACGGACCTTAAGCATGACCTTGCGAAATGCTTGTGCAGACAACTTCCACTGATCATTTCTCATGATTATCGTAGCAAACAAACCAATTACTGGGACTGCGATCTTTCGCGATGGTGCAGAATCAAAGTAATTATGGTGGCTACCCTTCCATCCACAGTACTCATCCCATCAAATCATAAAATCCAGCACTAACCAGATATTTGAGGATCAACTAGGCAAAGATAGTTGGTGTATTTAAGAATTTTAGAAGGTAGTAGATATCTCCATTGATAAGTAAACTCCGATGTAAACATAATTTCAGTAGAAATGTGATCGCATATTTAGCAGAATCGCTATCCACAGATGCCTTTAATTCGGCTTCTCATGATGTGGAAGATAGATCCATTAATCCAATTCATCTACGCCATACCTCAACACATAGTAGACTATCTACCTGACTCTTCCTATATAGCTGAAGGCGTCCCCTAGGACCACCGAAAAGCCAAGATCCACTTTACTCCTTGGCAAGACGACGCTTGTGCCTAATTAATAGTCCAATAACAATCCGACATTGTTGCGGGATTGCGCAGACCGCAATAAAAACTCTGCTTCTAAATGTTATCTTCTGGGTATATTAAATTA